TTTTCAAAAGAAAAAGCATCTCTACCCGTTAAATTTCTTAGATTAAAACAAAATACATAATCATGAAAACTGCCCACCATTGAATTCTAATTCAATAAAATTCCCTGTCTACCATGATCACCACTAAATTCATTACACTAAAGCAAGAAAATTGTATGCTCATTTATTCACTACATAACTCAAGTAACACCATGTACAAGTATTTTCCGAGGGATTGTCTACAAAAAGAGGTAGCTGGTTCTCATCTTTTTATTTGAAAGAGGTCAAATTTTGTCTAATGTTTGTCTCTTATATAAGCAAGATGAGGAAACTGGTTCTTATCTTTTTCTTCACTGCTTTTTTACAGTAAGAATTTGATATTGGGCCTTCCATTCTATGGACTTCTCTCTTATGCTTCCCGAGATTTTATCGGATTTTATCAATCACCTCAATTTGGTTTATTTATCTTAAAAAGGAGTTAATATTTGGAATATTTTCAAAGGTGCAATTTTATGGCAGATTTGGCTTGAGCGGAACAAAATAACTTTCAATAGTATTTCAAAAGACTTGGAGGACGTTAAAGATCGTATTCTATAATTTGATTGGGACTGGTTGTCCTCTACTAGCGAAGGAAGAGGGGTCTCACATACTGATATTTTTGTTAATTTAAGAAGCTTGAGTTTTGGGTTGAACAAAGAATACCACGGTTGTTGGGTGAGTGTAGTCATTAAAGGTCTTATGAATGCTCATAAAATAAAATGATATAGTGGAACATGAACTCAATGGGGGTGTGGTCTCTTGTAGACCATACTAAGTAAACGATATTTGCTGATATTAGATTGTGTTTGACCTATGTTATCTGGACATAAAAACTATCCGATAAGGATTCTAATAGGTCATCTTTTGATGAGGTTGGAGTATGCTGAGTGAGCCGAAAAACTGTGTGACCCTTGTGTGATGGTGGCTTTCAAATATGGGAGCCAAAGCCTTATTCATCTACCATCACACAACATGCATAATGATAGTTGTTTCGGAAAGGCAAACCACCTATAGGGTGAAGCTTATGTATGTGTGAGAGATACACTTATGTCCCATAGGAGCTGTGGCCGCATCAGGTCTAGGTGACATTTGCACCTCTCTAGGAGAGAACCTGAAATCCATAAAACTGAGATTATGAGCCATTGGCTCATCGGCTAGGCTTTGGTGTCCTACAAATGAGCCCCTGCATTGACTATGGGTCATGAGAAACACTGAGTCGGTTGATAAAGCAAGTGTGGAACGTAGTCCACGGCTGAAGGTGGAGTGCCCCAAATGTTTATTCATAGACCATATGGATCCTTATCTCATCTAATGAATTTAATTGTCTTTAGTTTATAATAATATGATTTTAGAATTATTATTTGAATTTTTCTAAATAATTGGATATTTTATTTATAAAATTTGCATTTATTAAAATGGAGATATTAATTTTTTTAATGTTTTAAATATTCAAATCCATTTTAATCTTTTATTAATTTTTTAAAAATATTTAAAAAATATTGAGAGCCCATTGTGCACATGGGTCTATCATGCCCTAAGTTGGTGGGGCTCACATAGCCACCTTTTGAGTGGCCCACTTTTAAGAGTCTTTCCCATTTTATAGGTGTTGAAGTTAATAAGCATGATAACTTTGACTTGGAGGCAAAGTTATTATGAGATTTAAAAAAGGTGATTTATCTTCAGAAAGATGTCAATGAATATTTCAAAAAATATGTTAAGGCTTGTACATATTTTTGGATAAAACACATTATTATGATTAATATTATTTTATTTATATTGATGGGATAATGGTCAAATGAAAAAGAGGGATAAATATTCTAGCACCTTCCATAGCATGTTGATGGCCTATCTATGGAAATGAAAGCTCAAATCTCTCACCCCATAAGTTAGATCAATAGTTCATATTCAATCCACAAGAAGATGCAAGCCATCATATTTTCCATTATAAAAGAAAAACCCCTTGCCCATAATTCTCTACACCAAAAACTTTTTTTCTCTCATCCATCTAGGGGGCTCACCTCTCTCTTTCTCATCTTGGAAATCTCCGCTCTCTCAAGAAAGCCTAAAAGGCACGCTCCACTCTCTCCACCTCTTGGCTCTCTCCCTCCCACATTGTGAACAGGAACTAAAAGTTTAAGCTATGGAGTTCTTCTCTCTCTCATCTCTCAACTATGGATTTATCGCCAAGGATTTTACGGTGTAGCAAAAAGAGAATCCATCTCTCTCAAACTAAGTTGCTAAGGGAATTCATCTAAGATTTTAAGTTTAAGATCAAAGGGGTTTACATTCTATTGGAGTGGCTTGTCCAAACTTCCTTTCCTAATTGAGATTGAAAGTTGACCATTAGATCCTACTCCATCAAAAGGTGGTGACTCTGTGCGGGGTGTACGAAACTTGGTTGAGATAATATCCGACACTCTATTTTTGTTTATTCTATATTTATTTATTATATTTTTTATTATATTTTTTATTCCCAAGCATTGGTTGTGTTTTTTTTTTTGTTACTGAAAAGTATGACTTAAATGGCTTCAAGTTCTTGAGATCCTATTATATTTTTTTATTTTATGTTATTATATGGTAAAAAGACGTTTTTTGAGTGATCTAGACGGTGAAGAAAACAAAATAATTAAAAAAATTTATTACATACTCCGCACTTTCAGGCTGAAGATTTTTTACCTTTCCTCTACTCTAGAACTATGGGTCTCCTTCCTCATGTCTATCGTGAGGTAAATGATACAGCTAAGGGCCTTGCCAAATATGGCATTTCTTCCCCTTCTCTGCTTATTTCGAATCCTTTAGCTCCTCATATGTAATTTGACGCTTTCCAAGCAATTATTCAATAAAAGTTTTTAGCATTGTAAAAAAAAAAAAAAAAAAAAAAAAAGAAGAAAAAGAAGATTGTCTACAAAGAGATCATTTACCTTTATTACAAGAAGATGACAACTATTCTCACTCACTAGATGTCAAATTGGATGGCTTGGGGTGAGTCACAAAGTCTGAAAATTATTTTTCGAAACTTTGTGTCTATTTAATGACAATCTTACAACTACCCAATTTGAAATTTAAATGACAATAATGATTGTGACCTCATTGTACAAAAAACAAATGGTTTATTTGTAAACAATCTCATTTTTAGAAGCCAAAGTTGATTTTACTTCTTCAATTTATTGATAACATTAAAAAATAGAAATAAAATACTATTCAACTTTTTACCTTAAAAACAATGAGAAAAGGGTTGAAATCGTCACTAAATCGTCAAAATATTACAAATTACATTTAAGGTTATCCTTTTAAATTTCTATTTCAATAAAGTTCTTTCTCAAAAATAAAAAAGAATAAAAAATAAAAAAAATAAAAAAATTCTTGAATTGCCCACATTTGGTGTTGGGAAGTCAGAAGACTCAAACCAACTAAAGGTATTTAGGTAAGGTAATTTTATGCCCAAATAGGCTTTAGCCGAATGATAGAAGTACTTCTTTGAGGTAAAATTACTAAATTATCTCTAATCGTTTTGGCTTCCCAACACCGAACATCGTCAGTTAGAGGAATGATTTCAACATTTTTTTTGAGGAAGTGTTCGATTGATATATAAATTTAAAGCATATAACCTAAAGTACAATTTGTTTGGAATTGTATAATGTAAGACAATTTACTTTTATTACTTTGAGTACAAAGAGGTTTCAATCATCTTTTGCCATTAGATGTAAAATCCAAAAGACTATAATATATCCCAACATCAGATAAATTTATTTTAAACTTTGTGCTCAATCAGTGATACTTCTGCAACCATCTAATTTTAAATCTAATAGTTAATAATGATTGTGACCCTCTTGTATAAAAAATAAATGGTCTTATTGTATATATTTTCATGTGTTTATTATGATATTTTGCAATTAAATCAAAAGTTGAGTAAAATATTAAATTATTCATCTCTTGTAGCCATTTTGATAAATTTTCCATAGACTAATTACATGTTCTCAACAAATTTGAAATCCTAATATTGAAGAGAGCCTTCCACTTAAACCAAATATCTTTCGAAATAGACAATATAATAGTTATCTATATTTTTTATTTAATTTCAATACCCATCAAAAAAACATGGTCTTCCGTTGGAATAGTTACAAATAAGTAAAATGTTAAATAGTTCATCTGTTAAGATTTTTTTATAAATTTCCCGAAATAAGTATGGGTTATTGTGCTTTGTTACGCTACTCCCCTCTTATGTCTCAAACTCCTCCATTTGGTCTAGAAAATTCACCTTTGGGTTATGGATTTTTTAGGGTACTCCCTCCTTTTTCTTTCATATTAAGGGGGATGCGGAAATTTTTTTTATATGTGCATTCCTCAAATACATTCAAACGCTAGATACTCGAGCTTTTTAATACAAATAATTTTTATTCTAGAGGTATTTTGTATAATTAACTAGTATAAAGAATAAATTTTGCTAGCAAAAAAAATATTTTATAAGACATCACCCACATGTAGGGGTGTTACATCATCAACTAATAAAATAGTATTGTCTTCTTTTAAGAGAGGAGAAACCTTAAAAAAAGGGGAAAGGGGCTGGGTATGGTGGTAGCACCTCCTAGTCAGCACGTTATGATTTTTCATTCCCATATACACCACCCTACTACCACCTTTAAATAAATAAATAAATAAGAAAAGAAACGAACTCCTAAACTAACTGAAAAAATGAGTGGGAGTATTTTTTCCCACTGAATTACCAAAAAAAAAAAACCTTAGAAAACATGAGTTAAAACACAGATATTTAGCTTGTAATGTTGATTAGGTTAAATATATCTTCCATAAGTAGTAGCCCAATAAAACCCATTTGTTGTTATTGAGAATTAAGAGAGAAATATATAAATACATTTGAGAAGTTCTAGATGGATGAAGGAAAAGAAGTTCAAGTTCCACCACAAAATTAGGGGCATTTAAAAGCTGAATGTTTTAAATGGAGTTAATTTTACAAACACTCAAGGTTCGCTTAATTGTATGGTAATTTATTTCCTTCATTCTTGAAACAAATTTTCATGTACATATAATAAAAAACAAATACATTGAATAAAGGCAATCCTACTTACCATTACAACCCAAAATTCTCGAGAGAAAACTCAGGATTAATTGTCAATTCCAAAAACGTCCACAAATTTTTGAAGTTCACCTGCAATTAGAAATAATTATTTTGTAGGAGAGAATTAATTTTGTACAAGAAAGAATTATAAAAAAAATTTCAAGTATCTCATTTTGTCTGTTTCAAGAGAGAGAGATAGCAATATGGATAAGTCATTGTGCATGTGCAGAGAGAACGGATACTCCATTGTGTGTGCAAGAGAGAGAGAGAGGCATGCAAGTGTCATTGTAACAGAGAAATAGATGTAGAAGCATGCATGAAACAATGGGCAAGAGAGGGAGAAGCTTAATATGTGAAGGTGCACGTGCACGCACAAAAGCTTACATGGTTCACTGTGAATGTGTGTGTAGAGAGAGACATAGAGAGAGACCTGCAAATATTGAAAACTGAGAATCGGAGAAAAAAACTCCATGGCTTTTATGTATATATATATATATATATATATATATATATATAGTAGGACTACTTACTACTACTATAATTAAATTAT